TGCTGCTGCTGCTGCTGCTGCTGCTGCTGCTGCTGCTGTTGCTGCTGCTGCTGGGGTGGGGGCTGCTGCTGCTGCTGCTGCTGCTGGGGTGGGGGCTGCTGCTGCTGCTGGGGTGGGGGCTGCTGCTGCTGCTGCTGGGGGGTGCAAGAGGCGATGCTGCAGCGGAGGGCCAGAGGGCGCCTGCTGCTGCGGCCACGGCGCCTCGTGCCGCTGCTGCTGCTGGTGCAGTGAGTGCTGCTGCTGCTGCTGCTGCTGCTGCTGCTGCAGTGTGGGGTCTTCTTGCTGGAGATGTGTGTGGATTGGTTTAAATATATTTTCCTTGTCAAGTTCAACAAGATACCCGTCGAGTCCTTTGCGCACTACCAAAATGTAAACCCTAAACCCTAGGTCTTGAACCCTAAACCTAAACCCTAAGTCTTAAACCCTAAACCCTAAACCCTTCTTGCAGCTAGCCGACCATCTTCTTAGCTGCTGCAGCTCTTGCGGCTGCAGGCACTCTGCCTAGTGCTGCTGCGCTGCGCTCACGCCAGCCAAAGCTAAGGCTTAGGGTTTAGGGTGTAGGGTTTAGGGTTTAGGGTTTAGGGTTTAGGGTTTAGGGTTTGTGCTTCAGGTGCTGATAGCTGATGTGCTGCTGGCGCGAGTGCCTGCGGCTGCTGCACTTATTCCTAAATTTGTCTATTCTGTTCCTTGCTGGGGCTGCTACTCATTTTCTCACATTCCCGCCAGGTAGGGTTTAGGGTTTAGGGTTTAGGGTTTAGGGTTTAGGGTTTAAGATTCAGGGTTTCGGGTTTAGGGTTTAAGATTTAGGGTTTAGGGTTTAGGGTTTAGGGTTTAGGTCTTGGGTCGCGTACTGCTTGCTTCTTTATGAGGATCGACTGGTACATAACCTGGTGTGGCCGCCGCTGCTGCTGCTGCTGCTGCTGCTGCTGCTGCTGCTGCTCGTGGTGTTACCGCTGCTCTTGCTGCTGCTGGTGGGGTTGTTGTGTTTCCTGCTGCAGGCGGATTGGCTTCATGTCGATCCACATAGTTACCCTAATAAGCTGTGTGCTGCCCAAGTAGGCGAGCGGCTTTTGCTGCTGCTGCTGCTGCTTCTGCTGCTGCTGCTGCTGCTGCTGCTGCTGTGGCAGGTGCTGCTGCTGCTGTGATGCTGCTGTTGCTGCGGTGGCTGGTGTTTCTGCTGCTCGGCAACCTGTTTCTCGCCTGCATACTGTTGCTGCTGCTGCTGCTGCTGCTGCTGCTGCTGCAGGGTCAACTGGAGGTCTGCTTCAGCTGTTGCATGCGCTGTGGTTGTGTGGCTTTGTCTTTTGTTACTTAAGGTAAGCATTTGAGGTGTACGTACACCTCGAGCGCCCCGCAGCAGCCCTGAGATGTACAGACAGCGCAGGGGTGCCCCATTTTGCTGCTGCTGCTGCTGCTGCTGCTGCTGCTGTTCGGGGCTTTTGCTGCATTCTGAGGTGTAGCGACAGCACAGGGATGCCTCACTTTGCTGCTGCTGCTGCTGCTAGGGACCTCCTGTTGCCTCCTGAGGTATACAGACAGTGCAGGGGCGCTTCAGCTTGCTGCTGCTGCTGCTGCTGCTGCTGCTGCTGCTGCTGCTGCTGCTGCTCTTTTATCAGGTGCTGCTCTCTCTCGTGGTCGTGGCCTTCGCCATTAAACGCCGCGGCCGCCTCACCTCCATTGAGGAGTCCATGACGAAGATAAACGGCCAGTGAGGGTTTAGGGTTTAGGGTTTAGGGTTTAGGGTTTAGGCTTTGCGGCAGCATGCGCTCCACGCCGCGCGCCCTGACGTTGTAGGCATTTGCATGCATGCAGAAGGCGCCTAAGACGCATGCATGCATGCATGCATGCATGCATGCATGCATGGGGGGCTTTAGCCCCCCCACGCATGCATGCATGCATGCATGCAATGGGCCCCAAAAGATGATTGCATGCATGCAAGCATGCAAATTTGCATGCAAGCGTGCAAGTGTACAGAAGCAAAGCATGCATGCATGCGTGCATGCATGGGGTGTGTGGATGTGGGGCCCTGCATGCATGCATGCACGCATGCTGCATGCATACACGCATGCGCGCATGCATACACGCATGCATGCATGCATGCATGCATGCATGCATGCATGCATGCATGCATGCATGCGTGGGATGTGCGGGAGCGGGGCCCTGGGGCTTTTGAGGGCCTCTGCTGCACAGGCGCAGGCCCGGCAGCATTTAGCGGCGCTGCTGCTGCATTTGTGCTGCAGCAGCGCTGGGAGCTGCTGCTGCTGCAGAAGCAGCAGCATCTGCCGGCGCTGCTGCTGCATTTGGGCGGCAGCAGCAGCCCTTTGGGGGCTTTGCTGCTTCGGGTTTGTTTCAGATTTCCTCCTTTAGACCCACAAGCAGCAAAAATAAATAAATGAAGCAACAAAAAGAAACTCTGCAGACGCGGCGCTGCGGGCGCTGCGGTGTACGTACACCTCAAGCTCCAGCCGCCAAAGCCAACGCCCAACGAACTAGGGTTTAGGGTTTAGGGTTTAGGGTTTAGAGTTTAGGGTTTAGGGTTTAGGGTTTAGGGTTTGAAGCAGACGGCTGCTACGGGCGAGTCACTAGACAAGTTTAGCGGATTATTTGAATATTTATTAGTTGTATCAATTAAATATTTATCATATTAATTAAATGTTTATCATATTAACTAAATATTTATTATATTAATTAAACATTTATTGCATTTTTATGATAAAAAATTATCCATTTGCTCTTTAATTCATTTCTCCCTCAGCAGCCCCTCTTCCCCTTGCTGAACTTCAGGTGTATCGACACCTCCCGCTGTTGCAGCTGAGGTGTACGTACACCTCAGAAAGGCAGCACTGCATTTCGCTGCAGCGGCCGGACAGCCAGGCAGCAGCAGCAGCAGCAGCAGCAGCAGCAGAAGCAGCAGCAGCAGCAGAAACAGCAGCCGCAGCGTCAGGAGCAGCAGCAGCAGCAGAAGCAAGAGCAGCAGCAGCAATTGCTGCGCTGCATAAAAGCAGCAAAAGCTTTCGAGCAGCAACTGCAGCACTCCCAAACTTTTGAATGAAAAAAGTTCAAAAAGAAAGAAAAAAAGAAAATGAAAAGAAAAGAAAAAAAGAAAAAGAAGAAAAAAAGGAAAAAAGAAAAGGAAAGAAAGTGGGAAGCAGAAGAGAAGCAAGGAAAGTCAGAAAAAAGAAAGTAAAAAAGAAAAAGAAAATAAAAAAAAGAAATAAAAAAGAAATTGAAGAAGAAAGAAATAGAAGAGAGTGGACGGACCGGGGATTGATCCCGGGACCTCCTGAATGCAAATCAGGCGTGATACCACTACACCATCCGCCCTGGAGTTGCTGCTGCTGCTGCTGCTGCTGCTGCTGCTGCTGCTGCTGCTGCGGCGCAGCAGCAGCAGCCCCGCTTTGGCAGCGGCCTGCAGCCGATCGGCAGCAGCAGCTCTGCAGCTGCTGCAGCCCAGCCCACCCTGCTGCAGAGTCCCCTGCTGCTGCTGCTGCTGCTGCTGCTGCTGCTGCTGCTGCTGCTGCTGCTGCTGCTGAGGGGGGCAGCAGCAAATAAGGGGATTCTCCAGGGCGGATGGTGTAGTGGTATCACGCCTGATTTGCATTCAGGAGGTCCCGGGATCAATCCCCGGTCCGTCCACTTATTTAAATAATTTATTCTTTTTGTTTTTTGCTGCTGCTGCTGCAGCAAACTGTTGACTGCTTTAAAAGCACTGCTGCTGCTGCTGCTTTCGTTCTAAGTGTCTGCTGCTTCGGCTGCTACTTCCCGAAGTCTTTGCATTATTTTAAAAGTACCAAAGGGCCCCCTGTGTTCATTCAGAGGCACTTTGCTGCTGCATGCGTTCGTTTTTGCTGCTGCTGCTGCAGCAGTGCTGCACGTGCTTGAGGTGTACAGACACCTCCTGCAGGCCGCCCTTTGCTGCAGAACTCTTTTGAATCTTTTGAAAGCCAAAATGCCAAAAAAGGAAATCTTTAAAGACAAGACGCAGCTGCTGCAGAAGCAGGTTGGCTTTTGCTGCAGCAGCAAGCAGCAGCGCAGCGTCTGCTGCAGCAGCAAGCAGCAGTGCGGCCTCTGCTGCAGCAGCAGCAGCAGCAGCACGGCAGCGGCACTTGGGCAGCTCTCAAGAAAAGAAGCCACAGCTCGAGTTGCAGGGCTTTGGAGCCGCTAGGAGAGCAGCAAATTGAGAAATAAAAAGATTTAAAATAAAATTAAAAACGGAATTAAACGAAGTAACTCTTTATTGCATACGGCCTGCTGAGCTGTCAAGACACCCGAAGAGGCTGCGGCGCCGAGAGCTCGTCTGTGATGCAAAACGAAGCCAAGATTAAATTCAAATTTTGAAATAAAAGAATTAAATTAAATTAAATTAAATTTATTTTAAAGATTTCAACGAATAACTTTCAAAGAAAACTGAGCAGCTGTTCAAGGACACAGAAGATGTCCAGAGCAGGCCGCGCTGGGGGCCCCCCGGCTGCGGGCTGTTGCGGCTCAGCCAAACGAAGTAGCCGGACGAATTAAATGGAATTATAAATTAAATTAAATGAAATAAATTAAATTAAATGAAATAAATTAAATTAAAATTGCAAAAGTGTTCAAATAGTCCTTTCTTGCTGCTGCGAGGAACCTGCGCATACACCGCAGCGCCTTCGCATGCAGCCCGGGCTCACCGGCCTTTGCTCTCGGGGCCCCCCGCCGGCGTTTTTAGTTTATTTTAATTAAAAAGGCAAATATTTGCTAATTAATTTGCATGTTATTGATAATTTAATACCCAACTCGCGTTTAAACGAGACTACGGGGGCTGGGGGCCCCCTCTGGCCCCTTTCCTCTCTCACTTCGGGGGCTTTGGCTTACCCATGCACCCCAGCTAGGGCCCCTGCTGCTGCTGCCAGTCCTGCAGCAGCACCTGTGCATCCTCTTTGCTGCTGCAGCGCAGCAGCAGCTCCTCCGCAGCCGTTTTGCTGCTGCAGCGCAGCAGCAGCTCCTCTGCAGCCGTTTTGCTGCTG